TTCAAATTTGAGTCTACTAAAGTTAAGGTGTATCATTATAATGCCCATTGCATTAATAATTTGATATATTTAAGTAGTTCCCTAACTCGCATCTTATATGAACGATGTGCTTCTATTTTGTAGATAAAAACTGTGCTAATACTAATTCTGAGAAAAACTAACATTCAAGAAGAGAATAGTACAATAAGGGAAGTCTCATCAACAAAAGAACGCCAGACCCACTTATCTCACCGAATGCAGCTGTTCGAGCCAAAGTCAGCAAGCCCAAAACCAAACGAGCCACGAGGATGACAAATTGAAGACGACTGAATGATCTGAGACTAAACCGTTCAGTCAAAAACTAGATAAAGAGACATCTTAGCCAACGAACATAAAAAAGTCGACTCAAAGAAGAACCAATCCTTCAACATTTACAATCATACAAAAGACGTCTGGAAGTCCCCTCATATATTATCAAGAGTCGACATTCATACTAAATTAGTCGACCAAAAAATGCCAATCAAGTCTAACCGACCAAACTAGTTATATTGACAGGAAACCGATCAAGCTTAGTCGATCGAACTAGAGAACAACGAAGTAATAGACTCATACATGTAAAATGTCAAGAATACCCTACACATTCCCCTTTAAAGTAGAGGACAAAGTGTAAAATCGTTATATTGTACACTCTCCTCTATAAATAGAGAGATGATTTTGTGAATAAACACACTTGAATTACTATTCATTACTATCTAATCCTCTCTCTGTCTTTCTCTTTCCTTACACTCAATTCCTTGAGCGTAATTCACAGAAAAAATATGATTCAACATCCTAAAATGTACAGTGAGTGTGAATCATGCCACAGATAAGAAGACGAGAAACCCGCAGAGAAGAAACCCACAACAGAGACACCATTAACATGGAGTGCACCAAAGAGTTTGTGAACTGATCCATGATTTAAAGGATCAAATATTAGATGTCATCCAAGACAAGCTAGTTACGGGAAGAGAAAAACACCTTGAGAGGAAGGGCTGGTTCCAACCAACGATTAAAGAGTCCCCGAGGCACTGAAAAAATAAGGCGACGCTCAGTACTTCAGTAATGTTGTGTCGAGTCCTATCAACCGACACTAGTTCAGGCATACTAAGGCGTTTTGAAAGCTTGAGAAGGTGTTTTCTATCAAGGCTCTGAGGCCGAGCCCTTAGAGAGATTGAAAATCCTAGCACTGGAGTCTTACAAGGGCAGGACCAATCCAACCGACCATATAGCGTTGTTTGAGTCAATTGTGTGCTTGCTGATGATAAACGACTTGCTAAAGTGACCCCTATTCTTTATCAGACTGAGGGAGTGAATCCTTAGGTGGTTCAATACATTACTACCGAGAGTGATTTCATCGTTCCTTAAATTCAAGTGAATATTTGTGGCATAATTTTCCAGCGCCCAAAGCCTCCAAAAAACTCACAACCCTCCTGTAGATCTAATAGGGATAGAAAAAGAGACTTTACTTATTTATTAGACGCTTCTATAAGGAGATGTTGTAAGTGTGGGACTTGGAGACCACAGTTGCTCATGCTGCTCTAGCTTAAGGGCTGAAAGAAGGACCCTTCCAAAACATGTTAAGTTTGTAATGACCAAAGACAAATCGAGTTGTTGGAGTTGGCTAACAACCACATATCAGCTGAGTATAATTCCAATCTAGTTTTATCCACATTAGAGTCATCCACCCATCACTCGTAGAAAAGGATCCCCCCAAGGCGTAGGGTGGAGACCAAGAAATGATTCACGTCCTTCAACTTACCGACACACACTAAGTGCTGTGAAGTACGGGTGACTCACGTAAGTATATTTAGCGTATCAATAGTACCAGGTTGAAGTTTGGTTGTCGATCCCATAGGGAACTAAGTAAACCTAATTGAGAAAAAAAGTTTTAGTCTACTAATTTTTGTCCTAGCCTGAAAAGTTTGATTTGCGAGTTTTATTTTTTATATTTCCTAAGTTTAAAAAAAAATTCTATCCTAGCAAGAAAAAATATTCTTATAGAATTCAAGTGTTAAGATATTTCCCCCTTAAATCAATCAAGCGATGAATAAAAATAAGGATTAAATTCAAAGATAGTGTCAATCAGGAGAAAAAAAACCTCCCTTATTCTCTTCTAGTGGTTTATGAAATATCACCAGTCACAAGTTTAGTTTCCTAAAAATATTGATATGCTCAAAGGAAAATATCTCCCAAAGGATTGCATAAATTCATTGGTAAAATCCCTATTTCAATGTGTTTATGTGGTTAATCCTTTCGTTTCACAAAGAATCCTTCAGAATCTCAATATTCATGAAAGTTTTTATCAATCTATTGGCCAGGTAGAATGTACATTAAATTCACAAGTTAACACACAACTTTTAAAATCAATTCAAAGCAAATCAATCTCAAATTCTTAGTCCCATCCAATCACCATACCAATTTAAGAGAGAAACAAGTAAATTACTCACAGTTCATGAAAAATTTCATCAACACAGACTTTGTATTATGAATAGACATAAAAAACAAGTCTTTACAGAGAAATACTGCAGATAATAAAATTTATTTGCACTTATGTCCTACCCAAACATGCAATATGAAGATGTCACCAATAATAAGCAATAAACTCTCTCAATCCTTGATACCCATCTCCAAGTGCTACTACATTGTGGGGGCGCATGCAAGTGTGCACGTGTCATGTCAGTAATATTGGATTTTAGAGTCCAGAATGTCAATCTCATAGAGAATGAGCTGATTCCAAAATAAGAAAAGTTCTAGCCTACTGATTTCATTCATAGCCTGGGATTTAGTTTGTTTTAGAGTCCTACGAAGTAATTCTATAATATTTAAACAATTGTGGATTGTAAATCCTACAAAAATTTTACTTAACTAGATGTTGAATTGATGAATATCAAGTTCTAAAGATACCCTCCCTTGTAATGAAGTAAGTGAAGTACAAGAAATGTAAAGTGCAAATTACATATTAAGATAGTGACAAATAGGAGCAACAATCTTCTTTACCTTCTTTTGAGTGCATAATGAAGATTGTTTAAAATGACTTTAATTCCTTAAATCCTATTTTAAACCCGTCAAATAATTTTTCTCTAACATTTGTATCTTGACCAAAGGAAAATAAGTTGAGATTTTCATACCTCTTTTATACTGTTTTTAATGATATTGCACTTTAAAGAAATGTATTTTTGATGTTTTGTTGCATGAATGATGAATTAGGGTCAATGGAGTAAAAAAGATGCAAAAAAGAGCGAATTTGGAGCAAAAAGGACCAAAATGTGGAGAATTGCACTAGGGCGCCGACGGCGCCATCGAGGCCGCTGATGGCGGGATCGACAGTTATGTGACATGTACAATGGATAAGGCTGGATTTTGGAAAGGTGCGTAAGCAACTCTTGGGAAAACGCATAAAAATTAGAAGTTTAGAGGGGGAGACTTTTGGAAGTTTGGAAGCTATAGAAAGGTTCCAATAGTGTGTAAATATTGTGAGGAATTCTTCGAAAGATTGTAAGAGTGGAGAGAAAGTGAGAGATTTCTTCCTCCTTGCTACTTCGAAGAGGAATTCTTTGTGCTGTAAGGAAAGGAAGAGATTCAGAGGAACTTCGAGGAGTGTTCTTGGGGAGAAATTTAGAGATAAGTTATTTACTTGTTATAGTTTGTATGGCTTTGATTTTATA